TTTTTTTCTAATTTTTTTGAGAAAGAATCCATATGGAAAAGGGGCCTAATCACCGAGTGATGCCATGCGGAACGGCAAAATTTTGACGGTCAACGTTCTGATAGGTGATGTTGGAAGGTTTGACCGAACCCGAGAAGGATAGGCATAGCAAGCGCGCTGGCACGGTTCGTTTCCTTTGGTTAGCTATTTCGTCGCTTGGTGGTGTTTCGTATCCCAAAAGGGGGAATGTCCCGATGACGCCGGGGGAAGTGAGAGTAAAACTGTGAACCTTGTTAGCCACGAGATAGCGGTAGGGATGTGAGGTAAACCGGAAACTGGGTGGGATGGCAGTGGGTGTTAACGGTTCAATTAAAGGAGGGGGCGGAGGGGAGAGTGTCCTGTATACCTAGGATATGGTGGTATGCCCGTGAAACAAAGTCAAAGATGATGACAGCTGACGCCGAAAAGGGAGAGAGGAGGAAGACCTATTCTTGTGCGATTGCGGACTTTGGAGAGAAACTGAACTCGGAATGGTTGACGAGAAACGGGAACTTCAAACAGGGGACACTACCATAGGACGGAATCGATGAAAGATGTCAGATTGTGCCGAGTGTGGATCCCTTTCCCGAGGGAGTCCCTGCGTAGTTCTTGGTATTGCTTCTCGAAGGCGGACGACTTGCTGCGATTTGTCAAGAAAAGCGCAGCTTCAAGCCACCATCTGATTCGTGTGGCTCTCTTTGTCCAAGGTTGCAGCATCGAATCCACCCTTTTGTGTGCCTTGGGATTCATCGTCCACGAGAACCACGCGGAGCGTCGTGTCAATCTCTAGCGCAACTGACGCCTGCCCCTGAATGGCCTATCTTGCGACCATGTCGAAAAGGCATTGAAGACATGTCGAGATTGGCATTGCAAAGAAAGAAAAAAAAATCAAATAAAATTGAAAAAAGGGAGAAGTGAGTTTTCAAATTTCATCTGGGATTTTCCCCGAGACGGGGGGGATCTCTGCGGGCCTATACCTTCCATGTACCTTTCCTTTTGGTATATAGTGTAGTAGTAGTATGAAAGCAAAGTTGATTGATGAAGGGGGTTTCAGTTCGGCGACTCTTCAACCCGCAGGGAATCAAAGAAAAGAGGAAGAGGTTGTAGCAGCTAAAAGCAACCCCATTCCCGTTCCCAGTCCCTTGTCTAGTACTTGGGTACACTGCACTACTGTCCGACTTCACTTCCATTTTCTTCCTCTTGCACCAAACGGCCGACGAGTGATCGCCGCACCTTGCATTACCTACCTACTTATCTCCTGCGATCCTTTATACACGCGGGCGCACGAACCAAACCGCTTGCAAATTCTAGAACTAGACTACTAGATTCCTGGTCCATAGAGCTAGGTAGGGTACCTGGTCGTTGTACTTTCCTCCGTCCTCTCCCTTGAACGCCGAGTCCGTGCGGGACCCTGCAAGAACTCTACCACCGACTCTACCTGCACACCGATGCGCGCTCTCTGCACCGACCACTTCGACTGAACGTGTCAGTATTGCGTCTTTCATCCCTCCTTTCTACTCTCGTCCGTTGTTCTGTCCCGCCTGTTCCATCCCATCTGTTCGTCTACCCGTTCGCCTGCGCGTCAGCCCCGCCGCCGCCCGTACAAATATACGCTCGACGAAGCCCTGGTCACGGAGGGACACCAGATCGGAAATCAAAGGAAGCATTAACTTCGTCGCAACATCAATTTCATCTTCCAACTTTGGTTACGTCAGAACAAACACCTTACGGTACATCGTCGCCTTGCCACCTCTGCGACGATTTGATCAGGTACGCTTCGCATTACCCATTTCCCATCTCAAATTGGTTTGTTCCACGGCCCCTGGTCCCTCTCTTCGTTGTTGTCGCCTTTCCATATGCCCATCTCGTCACTGCCTTCCAATTCCTACGCTGTGCCATTGCGCAGTCCCCCCATGATCCACGCCGCCCTTCCTGCCATGGTTGGAGGTGCCTGACACTCGCGGCCTCTCCGAGTTCCCACTGCCCGCACGGCTAATCCCCACAACATGTTTGGGTTTCTGCTTCAGGTCGGCCGGCCAAGATTCCCTTCTTCGCTGTTCCCCTCGCATTCCTTTCCATGCTCGTAGGGAATATGGCTGCTAGGCTCACGGCAAAGGCCGCGGACTGGTACGAGAGTCTTGGGAACTTACTCGGGGCAGCCCGGTGTGTCTAGCCCCTGGGCTCCGTCCAAGGTGTGAATGCTCCCAGGATAGCCATCGCTCACCTTGACCCATTGTCCCGGAATTGACTCCTGTCTGTGCCTCAACGGCGGACCCAACGGATCCTGGACTTTTCCCTCCTATTCTTTTCTTCGGCTGGACCCGCGTTTGTCATTTGCCAGGTGACTGCATCTTGGCTCGCCCTCGCTTTTCTCGGGTTGTGCCGTCGCCCTACTGCACTGCTCTTTCACATGACCTTTTCCTTCCTTGGACTTCTTGTGACTATGCCCATGTCTTGTCGCCTGTTTCACTCTCAAGAGCCTTTTTGCATAGATAGTTTTGCGCTGCAGGCGCAGCAACTGTCGAGATGGCGGGCTTTGGACTGACATCGCCGACTTCAGACCAGCAGCCGCCGAGTGCTTTCGACCTCAGTCGCTTCTCTGATTCCGAATCCGAGGAACAGACCTCTCGTTCTCCTGCAAGGACCCCGTCCGAGTTTTTGTCTTCAGCTTTCCGCGGCATCAAAAAGATCACTCCCGGCCGGGAGGAGTTTGCGAGGCTCACGCGCCAACCTTCACAGCTCGGTCTACGACGACCCGCTGAGTCTTACATTCCCACCGCAGAGCGACCGTCCATATCGTCTCCTATCCATATAAAGTCTCCAAACCCACTCCAGGCGCAACATGCACGGAGCCTGAGTCTCCAAAACAGTCTTGCAAAACCTTTACCGGAACCTCCCCCACCGACGCTTTCCCCAACGAGCCCATCAACGCCTACGCAATTCACTCAACCGCCGCTGGAAACGATTGTGAACGCAGAAGAAGACTGGATGGACAATAATCGAATGAGCCCCATGGATTCGGCATCATCGATGGAGATGGGAGGTGGCGGCACGTATATGAGATCTCAAGAGACTGCACGACAGGATGTTAGCATGAGTAGCAGTCAGAGCAGCTTCGCAAGTGTTCACAGATCAGAAGGGGGAGATGGACGCCGTGAAAACTCGACGCAGAGGAGTAATGGGCCAATGTCCGCCGGCCCCTCCCCCAACGGTGGCCCAGGGAGGTCACAGGTAGCGGGTGGCGGTGGGCCGCAACCAATGCCCTCGCCATCACAGCATTTGTCGGGTTTGATGTGCAACGTGCACCGGACAACAGGCAGAGAGCCGCCGCCTTTGGTTGGTGCTACTACGACAGTCTTGGGAGACAAACTATTCGTATTTGGTGGAAGGGTACTGTCGAGAAGCAAGCCTGCGCCGCTAACGGCTGATCTATACGAGTTGGACCTCATCCGACGACACTGGTCTAAAATCGAGGCGACCGGAGATGTTCCCCCACCTCGGTATTTTCACTCCATGTGCGCTCTCGGCGACACGAAACTTGTCTGTTATGGCGGTATGTCCCCGATATCAAGCCAAAACACAATACCGCAGGATCAACAACCCGAGGTCAAGGTCATGTCGGATATATACATTTACGACGCACCCACAAGGAAGTGGACCTTCGTTCAGACACAAGAGGCTCCCCAGGGACGATATGCTCACTGTGCATGCATTCTCCCGTCGTCGGCCGCTTTCGCATCTCACAGGGCCCCGTTCTCAGCGCTTCAGCATAATCCTTCATCGGGGAACCCCAATGAGGGCCGCATTGGAATCAACATTGATGGGACTGGCGGCGCAGAAATGGTGGTTATAGGAGGCCAAGATGCCGCAAATCACTATATTGAACAGATCAGTGTCTTCAACCTGCGAAGCCTCAAGTGGGTTTCAACGGAACAACTGGGCAAGAGCTGCGGTGCATATAGAAGTGTGGTTGCTCCCCTGCCACCATCCCTCGCGGCAAAAATAGGCAAGCCACACCTGGTTAGCGGACGGCCGGACCCAGGAGCTACTTCCCAGGAGGCCAAGGATGCCGGATCTAGCATGCTGATTTACAGCAACTACAACTTTCTCGACGTTAAATTGGAGTTGCAAGTAAGATCGAGTGATGGAACCCTTGTCGAGACGACGATGAAAGAGCAATACAGTCCGCCAGGATTACGATTTCCCAATGGAGGAATCATCGATCACTACTTTGTGGTTAGTGGCACCTATCTCACCTCATCGAAGCAGGAATATGCACTCTGGGCATTGGATCTACGGAACCTTAGCTGGAGTAGGATCGATGCCGGAGGGGCTGTTTTTAGTCAGGGAAGTTGGAACAGAGGCGTGTTGTGGAACAGGAGGAACACGTTCGTCGTCTTGGGTCACCGAAAGAGAAGCCTTGTGGATGACTATAATCATCGGCGCATCAACTTCAGCAATGTCTGCATGGTAGAGCTGGAGGCCTTTGGATTCTATGACAATCCTCGGAAGACGGCGCCCATGAGCGGCTTCGTCAGTGCCAGTAGTCCTTATACCGGTCCTGGTTTGAGTCTAGCCCGTAAGGCGGGCTTTACTGCCGGCGGTAGACAACACAGCCGTGCTGCCGAAGAGCTCGGAGAGAAGGCGCTTACGATGCGGGAATTGGCGGACATGGATATTCTCTGCATAGGCGGTGAACGGATACCTGTCAACTCTAGAATCATTGCAAGGCGATGGGGGCCGTATTTTGTCCAGCTGCTCCGGGAAGGGACAGCCTGCCAGGACGGTAGCGACGTCATGACACTCAGGTCCAACTCCATTTCGGCGTCGTCTGGTATGGGCCGCAGCTCCAACATGACACCCACGCCCGGAAACAGGAATACGATGGAGAGTCAGATGTCGGTATACTCGGGTGGTAGCTCAGCTGGCAAGCCGCCCAGCACGGCCGCTACATCCGTGGCGGGAAGCATCATGTCACCAACGGGTGTAGACGCTGCCGCGCTCAACAGTGCACCAACACCGCGTACTCTTGCGCCTAATAACCGACCACGATGCCTCTATCTACCGCACACCTTCCTCACCATCCAAGCACTTCTCCACTTCCTCTATACCTCCAGCCTCCCCCAGCCTACCTCGCCGTTGTGCACTCCACAGATTCTCTGCAGTCTTCTTCAAATAGCGCGGCCGTATCGAGTGGATGGTCTCCTTGAAGCGGTGGTGGAGCGCCTGCATAACCTACTTGACAGCCGAAACGCAGCCGCAGTCTTCAATGCCACTGCCATGGCCGCCGGAGGCGGACGTGGCATTGACGGTACCCTCAACCCCAACTTCTTCCCGCCTGCCGACCTGGATGGACTGGCTAGTCCGGTCGGATCAATGCCGCCTTCCGCAAACGGCAGTGAATATGGTGGTGGCGGCAGTAGCCTTGCTGCAAGGACTGCGGCGTTGCATATCAATACGACCGGGCTTCAGCAGGGCAGGAGGCCGCCTGACGAGGAGTTGAGCGCTACGAACAGCGTGAGTGGAAGTGAGTGGTCAGAGATTGGGGAGCATGAGACGGAACGAGGAAGTGAAATCTGGTCTGGAGAGCTAAGCAGTGTGATTGGTCTGCAGAAGAGAGGTTTGAGGGGGCTGATGGAGGGTCGGAGGATGAGAGAGCGGACGGGAACGAACCCTGGGATGGGACTGGGAGGGCCAGGGCCGTCGAGTGGACATGGAGGTCCCGGAGGACCGAGCCTTTACGGATCAACTCCTACGGCGACATCTTCAATGCAACAAATGCAACAACGTGTCGGGACGGGGATGGGTGGTCCTTGAGCTTTTGTCTGAAGGATCAAAGTACGTGAGGTGAACGGATAGTACAAACATGGCATGTCGTTGATTTACCCGGGGATTTAGCGGGCATTTAGGAGGCGGTGGCTATGTGTGGGAGCCGAAAGTTGATAGGCGTATGTGGATGCCATATACCGATAGATGTTTCGTAGATATTGAATAATGGATAAGTCCAAAACATGCATGGCTGAGAACACATCACTGGGCAGTGGATGAATAACAGGTGCGGGGTTAGGGTTGAACATCATGTTTGCAGCCTATCAATGGATCACGCGCCGTTAACGATCTGTTGATGACGGCACCTCCGCACCTGCCTGGACCACCGGGCACATTGCACTTGGAACAGAATTGCATCTAGCAGTCATCTTATCAATAGCCGACATCGGGGAGACTGTCAACCTCCTTCATTTTGGAAACTGAGCTCAGTTTCATCATAACACTCCATCCCATTCCTCTACGTCCCAACCCATCCTCACCATGACCACCATCAATAAAAGGGACCAACTGCCCTCCCTCCTCCTCCTCCCCTTCCCACCCCACCCCTCCAACCGCACCCTCCTCAACGCCGCCTACCGCCCCCCTCTCACCGCCGTCCTCTCCAAGCTCAAACACGCCAACCCGCACGGCGCATCCAAGCTCATTATCGCCGTCACCGTCCCCATCCTCCAAGGGCCGCCCTACCAGCTGCGCTCCAAGACCTTGCTCTGGTCGCAAGCGCAAGCGCTGATCGCGGGCCTGTACGCCATCATCTCCGTCATTTGCGCCCGCTTGGAAATCAGCACGGAGATTGATGGTGGTCAGGGGTCGGTGGATGCGACGGTTGTGCTGGTTGATCATGATCGGGGACGCAAGCCATTGAATGCTGAAGACCGGGCCCTGCGCGGGGATTCGAAAAGCAGTAATAGTCTGATTGAGACGAACAACACGGTGGTGGTAGACTTGGCGACATTTGCGGACGCCTATCACCCGTGGAATTATATTTTTCATGTGCGCACCGAGCAGGGCATTCGGTTGAACGAGGTGTATCTGCAGATGGCGGAGGGGAAGATGATTGGGGCACATGCGCTTCGGCAGGAGCAATTGGTGGGTGTGGAGGGGGGGTTGACACTGCATCATGGGCTTGTTGGAGACGATACTACGGCGGTAGCGGGAGCAGCTGGAGGGGAGGGGAATGGGGAGGGAAGACGGGTATCAGGAGTGCCGGTCGTTTGTCTAGGAGGGACCTTTGACTATCTCCATCCGGGCCACAAGCTGCTCCTGACCGCGGGCGCTTTGCTCTTGGGAGTGCCGAGCAAAGATGAGCTGTCACTGCCGGCTACTTCGCCCAGGCGACGCGAGCCGTGCAAATACATCATTGGGATCACGGGCGATGAGCTCCTCAAGAACAAGAAGTTTGCAGAATACGTGCAGTCGTGGGAGACGCGGGCGCGGAACGTCATTTACTTTTTATCCAGGCTTCTACAGCTCTCGGACAAGGGATGGAGAGAGGCAATGGGCCCTGCGGCCGACGACAACATCCACTCCGCCGTCGCGGCAGGAGTGCAAATCGACGAGAAAGACGGCGATTTCCGCGCGGCTTTCAGGGATGGCACGATCATCGTGCAATGCGTACGGATACAAGATGCTTTTGGGCCGACGGTCACGGAGGAAAATATCGATGTGCTGGTCGTGTCGGGGGAGACGCGGTCGGGTGGAAAGGCCGTCAATGACAAGCGGGCGGAACAGGGATGGAAGACACTGGAGGTTTTTGAGGTTGATGTGTTAAATGCGGATGAGATCCCGGAGGACGTGGGAGAAGACGTCAAGGCTACCGAAGATTTCACTTCCAAGATTAGTAGTACCGTCATTAGACAGCAGAGGGCGGCGCAGGCTACGGGGAAGAGCGAGCCTAAGATTTGACTTGGTGTCGAACGGACCCAACCTCCCCCCCCCCCCCCCCCCCCCCCCAACAACACACACACACACAAACATACAGTGAGTGATATATATATATAATATATACGCACAAAGATAAGTGCAGGAGAGGATATGGGCAAGTTGTTTGTTGGTCGTAGAACACATATACAGAATAGCCGGGCATCAAGATAGGTCCTGCACAGACATGCCTACGTTATTGAACGAAATGGAATGAAGCCAATGGATGAACTAATTATAATCACATTGTACAGGGAGCTCAAAGAGGCCCAACGTACCTCAGTCGTATGACTAGTCTTTTCAATAAATTGAATAGAATTATCGCAAAGGTCACCCCTCAAGTTAAGGACTGACTATCTCACCCATATCCAGATTCCCAAGCCCCCCCCCCCCCCCCCCCACCCCAAAAAGATTGGGGTCCCCATAAATCACTGTCAAGATAGGGAAATTAGAAAAGCCCCGAACAGAAAGAATGACAAGTACCAGGACTCGATGTCAACAAATTAGACTTTTGACACAAAAAAAATCGTGCTGACAAGAGTGGGATTCGAACCCACGCCCTTTCGGACCACGGAACCTTGGAAGGGATATTAAGGGTTAACCTTAACGTGGCGCCTTAGACCGCTCGGCCATCTTGCCTTAAAGATGAACCTGAAGGTGCAATGGTATACTTAGATAGTGGGAGCGAAAACGAGCCTTAGGCCACTATACCTACACAATGATCTCGAAAGGCTGTCCTGCTGATTCACTGCCACTCAAAGACGAGGTGACGGTCCCGAATGGTCCTTCCACCATGGGTGGGGTAGGTATCTCGCGAGTGTCTGTTTGTCACGAGTTATCATCAAAGTGGTCATTTTGTGTAGCGAAACTACCAAATGCCGTTGTGTTCTTCATGAGAACACAAACACTTCTGGGCACCCCCTTCCTTCCTTCCCTTTTTTTTTTTTTTTTTTTTGTACATGTGTGCCGCATATCTGTATGTCTTTGTATGTGTTTGTATGTTTCCTAAACTTCGAATGGCCAACTATTGCTCATACGTGCTGATATCGCTAAAATTACACCCTGGGACAAACCCGAGGTTCGTCATGAACTGCGGATCAACGTCAACCGCATCCGTGTACTCAATCGATGCCAGATCATCCACCATCGCATCGTAGTCTACAGTCGAATATCCGAAATTGGCCATGGGGACGAGGTTACTATGGTGAGGAGGATGGTTCGTTGTACTATCAACGTATGGCGGTGGTGGTCTGGGAGGAGCACCTCCATGCGCAAGGGCCACCGAGGCCTCGTTCAAGTGGGTGGCAGGTGGTGGAAATGTACTGAGAATGCCATGGGTATTGACTGATCCGTAGTCATTGGTTTGAGTAATTGCGTCTAGGGCCGCATCGCTATTGTAGGGGGTAGGATTCGGTATTCCATTGAACCGATCGTTGACCGGATTTATTGACGTCGACGGGGGCTGTTCCATGACATGGGGCATGATATTTGCAGTTGCAGTTGCAGTCGGCGGAAGCTCAAGTTGTCGTATGGGTTGGAGGCCAGTATTGCTGTGTCGGCCTCCCCGAGACCAAATGGAGGAGTAGGCGGGGAAAAGCTCCTCCAAGTGCATTCGATGCCGCTCTGAAGAATGTGATTGTTTCTTTAAAGCAAGAAGGGAGTCTAGTAGAGAAGGGATCAGAGGTGGGATTGCATATGTACCAAACCGCTTCTGATACTGATCAAGAGTTTCGATCAGAAGATGCGAGTAGTGTTCGTTGAGAGGCTCAGAAAAGGCAGCTGCCCATAAATAAACGGTACGGGTAAGGTATGCAGTAGGCACAAAAGCCGATGCTGTATCCTGGGAAAGGACAAAGACGCTGAAGGGAGAATTGTGGCCGATTACCTGCTGCAACCGCGACCTGAACTCCGAGGGAGCGTTCTGTGAAGATGTTCGTATTCTTGGCAGAAGCTCCAAAGCAACCAGCTTGGTCACGCCATATAGGTGGTTGAATGTGCTTAAAGGGTATGCCGGATTCCTCAACATTTGCAGCATGGTGTGTTCACCGCCTAAGCCCTCACATGGTGTCCACGGCTCCCATTGATCTTGACCGTCTTCAGGTAACGGCAGATCCGCAATGTCGTCTGGCTTGAGATGGGCCGGCACGTTGTGTCTCATAGACACAATGGTATCCACGATGAAGCACGCGACGAGCAGCGCACGCATTCTTGGTCGTGGCCGGTCATCATCAGGAGGCAACTGGGTGCGAACAACAAGTAGGACGCGAACCGCAAAGCCAACCAGCAACCAAGCAGACTCCCAATCATCTCGTCCAAGGCTTACGAGACAAAGAAGCAGCAACGCTCTGCAGTGCTGAACCTGGAACGGCCCGCTTTCCAAAGGTATGAGCTTTCGGGCTGTGTCAGATATGTCTGCAGGTGAAGGATTGATGGCATTGTCATGGCCATGAGCAGCTGAAGCTGGACCCGTAGCACTCGATGCAGCAGTAGCAGCAGCCTGGAAGGACGCCAGGGCGAGTGCGCTCCAGAGCTCGGCATGAACGCCAGACTCGACATTCGCAGAGGGAAGCAACGAGCCTTGTTCAGAATACTGGTACAATGCTTGGTACATGTCTTTCTTCTCGAGGATAGGGAGCCAAGAATGCGTGTAGGAAAAGTAGATATCCAGCAAGCGCCAATGATTGGGTGGTAGCTTCCCTATCCCGGTACTATCTGGCTGAAGGTTGTTTTCCAGGGTGTTTGCCGAAATAGGTGGTCGGACCGGGCCTGGTAGAGTGCGTGTCTCAGCTGTACTAGGCGCCGAGAAAGTCAAGTGAGGCGCATGAGGGAAGTCGGATGTCTTTGCCCCGGCATCTTGGACATTTATGTCTTCGGACGGGGATTGGCCGTCTTCAGATGGATCATGTGCGGCCTGACCTGAGAGAAGACGGGTGATGCTTTTGTTGACTCGACTCGTCGCCCATCTTGCATGCAGGCGTTCTGCAGCAGGCGAGTCTTTGCCGACCAGGAGAGCGCTGCCCTGGCCAGCTTCACGGACCAAAAGATTGTGGAGGGCATCCTCGCTGCGGGCAACGTTCTCGAACATCCAAGCAAGAGCCAGTTCGAGAGTGCGGATGTAGCCCGTCTGGACACCTCGCTTCTTGGGACTGGCCTGGTAGGTACACGACCGGCCCTGCGACACACAGGGGAAGCAAGCCGGCTGGATTCCATCGCACTTTTCGCGTGCAGCTCGACACTGATCACAGGCCCTCGAGACTCTCTGGCGTTTTGAACGAGCGGGCTCGACAAGTGACGTCGTCGTGGTAGGGCCGAGGCCGGGTGTGTCAATGTTGGTTAAGTCCGCAAAACGGGCGTTGTTGCTGCTTGCTGAAGTGTTAGCGACATGGCCATCAGCGTGGGCATCAGCATGGCCATCAGCGTGGGCATTGGCTTCGGCAGCGGCATTGAGTGTCTTGCGTTTGGGCGGCATGTTGGGATTTGTGTATCCGGAGAGATATGTTGCGAATCAGGCGCATGGGATGCCCTTGCCGATCTTTTTTTTTTTTTGTTCATGACCCTCTCCGAACCATGGCGACGTTGTAGTGGGTGTCTGGGAGTCCGATCATGGCTTGAATGGGGTTGCGTAGAGGCCGAGGTGGGTGCATAGCGATATCATGAGCGAAGAAGCTGGATGGCAGTGAATGTTTGGATCCGTCACGGCAGTGGAACCGGTAGTGAATTCGGTGCGGGGGAAGCTCGGCTTTTGCTGTGGCATGTACGTCTAACGAGAATTCGAAGACACTTTCGCCTGCAGGTTAAAGGGAAGCATATGACTATCGGTAGGTAGTCTTATAGTCCATTGTCGAACCTGTGAGGCAACAGGACAAACAGGTGTGTTGGAGTTGTAAACAGCGTGAACAGAGGAGAGAAAATGGAGGCCCAAGTTGGGAGGATAATCGTTTATCCTTTTGTGCAGCGAGACCTCCGTGAAAACACCCGCCATGGTTACAGATGGCTGTACCTACCTAGTAAGGTAAATACTGGAAGGTTTGACAGGCTTGGACGTATGGATATCACCTCATATGAGAGAGGCAGGCTCCGTCCTAGGACTGTACCTACCTACCTACCTACCTAGGTAATTAAATGCCCGCCCTCCTTTTCCGTGCTTGCCTCTTGTACATCAAGTACAGACCTCGTTGTATCCAAGTGCAAGCAAGGTGTAAGGGGGTTTCAGTTTCTTTGCCGCAAGGCTTTTTACTCAAAGGCACACCGGGCGGGCTGGCATCTCTCAGCTTGCATGCCAGAGGACGCTGTTTCCTTAAGCAACGGACCGCTAGGTACTGTATTGCGACAAGCACAGAACAAAACTCATGAACCCTTTTCTGACCGGATGAGTGAGTGATTCTCTAGTTTCCAATTTGCAGAATTGACATTGCCATGGCGCATGCGGGAATGCCGATTCACAAGTATGCGCACAACTAGGTAGGCACCCGGCCTTTCACTCGCTGCGATAGGGACACCACTACCACCCCCGCCGCCGCCGCCGCCGCCGCCATCATGAACACCATCCCGGCACGCCATGTCGGGGATGTCGCAGCCCGCGATCCTCTACCTCTACCGCACATATCATCCTCCGTCGCCAGTGGCATGAAGCGTTCCTTCGCAACCATGGCCATGCTCTACAACGACACTGGCAACAGCAACGATGTCGGTGCCCATGCTAGGCGACCACCACGAACCCTCTCCAATAGTCGGAGCACTTCCGCCCACAGAGTACCTCTAGGCACGTCTGTATTGCTTCGCGATTTTTACCTCGAGTCTTGATCGTACTAACAGTCAGTCTCACCAGGCTCTTGGTCGGCGCCCAATTCCCCGCCCCGCCGTGCGCTGCCGCATCATCCCATCACCGCCAGCTTCGATCCCGATGCTTCCATTGTTATCGCCGGCATTCGTGGCGCTGGCAAGTCTACGCTGGCCATCATGGCATCTACCGCCATGAAGCGCAAGATAGTCGACCTGGAATCCGAGTTCCATCATCTCACTGGCTTGTCTAGTTCCAGCTACAAGAAGACACACGGCCCGGTCGACTATGGGAGGCGCCAGATCGCCATCTTGCAGAACATCTTGAATCTGCACAGGACCCGCGCCATTCTCGTCTGCTCTTGGCTGGAGCGGGATGTGCAGGCCATGTTGCAGGATTTCAGCACGTCGAATCCTGTCATTTACGTTCTGCGCGATGCAAAAGCTATCGAGGCCCATCTCAAGGGATACGACAAGTCCAAAGTTGGCACCCTCCTTGATGCCACCAGTACTGTCCTTCGCCGCTGCACCCGTTTCGAGTTCTTCAACGTCTCCGAGGAGAACCTGGACACCCACTCCGCTTCAACGTCACCACCTGCCGTTCCGGACCAGCGGCATACCGCGCCGTATCTGACGCTTAAACGAGCCGAGCGCCACTTCCTCAAATTTCTCTCCCTGATTCTACCCAAGGGGACCATACCTTTTGTCGAGTCGGCCTTTCCCCTGGCTTCCGTCCCCGTTGAACAGCGCCGCTTTACCTACGCCCTCGCCTTGCCTATATCTGCCTTGCTCGACCAAGGCGTCGATATCCAAGAGCTTGATGTCGGTGTGGACGCAATCGAGATCATTGTAGACGATCTTGCAACGAGCGAATCCGGCCCAACGAGCCCCTTGGGTCTTGCGCCCCACCGAGCGAGCGAGATCAGTCGTGTTGTAGGCGAAATCAGAAGGGACACCGTGATCCCCATCATCCTTCACGTGGTCTTCCCAGAAAGAGCGCTGTATGAAGAAGCTCTGCTCGCTCTTTACATGACTTACCTAAACCATGCCTTAAGGCTTGCGCCAGATTATCTTACGGTCGATCTGGGGCTCGATTCTGGCTTGCTTGGGCAACTAACCACCGTTCAAGGAACCACCAAGGTTATCGGCAATAAACAACTTGCAGAGGTCAATTCGCCGCGCTGGGGGGATCCATCTTGGTTACAAGCCTATGAAAAGGCCCAGAATACAGGATGCGACTTGGTAAGGTTGACCAGACCGGCTTCAAATTCCCGGGACAACACAGACATTCGGCAGTTCCACGTTGCTGTAGAGGCCGTCGGGGGTCCAAGGCTCCCATTTATTGCTTACAATACAGGACGGCTAGGTCGGACATCGATGTGTTTTAACGAGATCCTGACTCCAGTTGCACCAGGGCCTACCAAGGAGGATGCAATCGGGCTCCGCAATCCAGCCCATCGCTATCTCCAGCCTCCGCTCACGGCTCTGGAAGCAACACAGGCTCTCTACTCGGCATTTGTCCACGACCCAATGAAGCTGTATGTCTTCGGCGCAAATGTGGGATATAGCTTGTCCCCCGCCATGCACAATGCCGCACTCAAGGCCTGTGGCATTCCACACCACTACAAGCCTCTTTCTACAGCAAACATCGGGACTTTGCGCGAGGTTATCAGCGATCCGCAGTTTGCTGGAGCCTCGGTCGGCCTGCCGTTCAAGGTGGAAATCATCAGCCTCACACACTCGCTGAGCCGGCACGCGAAAGCCATCGGAGCCGTCAACACCTTGATTCCGGTACGACACCTTACCGCGGACGGTGGAATACCGGATGAGGTGTCCATGTTCAACAATATCAGCCAAGCCGGCGCTGTCAGAGCTCTCTACGGCGAGAACACGGATTGGATTGGTATCCGGGCCTGCCTTCGCCGCGGTTTATCGCCCGCCAATGCCGTGAGATCAACAAGCACTGGTCTTGTCATCGGCGCTGGCGGAATGGCTAGGGCAGCTGTCTATGCCATGCTTCAACTGGGAGTCAAGAAGATTTTGATCTTTAACCGAACATTTGCTAATGCCGAGAAGCTGGTTCTACACTTCGAGAACCTGTTGGTCAGAGACGCATTGCCTCTGTTGAGCACAGGGCCAAGATCCCACGACAACACCTGTTTTCACATCATTCGATCTCGAGACGAACCGCTCCCAGAAAACTTCAAAAACCCGACCATGATCGTTTCCTGCATACCGACACACACAGTGGACAACACCCCTGACCCTGAATTTACTGTGCCTTTGCACTGGCTCGACAACCCCACTGGCGGCATTGTACTAGAACTCGACTACAAATGTCTCACATCACCCTTGCTCGAACAAACACGACGCGAGGCTCACAGAGGCTGGGTCGCAATGGATGGACTTGACCTCTTGCCAGAGCAAGGGTTTGCCCAATTTGAACTGTTCACCGGGCGGCGAGCACCTCGTCGCTTGATGAGGCGCGAGGTTTTGCGAGCATACCCAGATGATCAAGCAAAATCTCATACCGCGCAGTTACAGCCTCGCCTCAACGGAATTGCAACGCAAATATCTTGAAAGAAAGAGACATGCGGATCTCACGGTCTTGATTTCGGGGCGGGCTGTCGGCATTAGGGTACAACTCGGACCGGTTTGGGCGGACAGCAACAAGATCTGCTCGGAGTACTAAACCCGGATCCGTGTTTGCTCCTGGAGCCGGCAAGTACTTCTATTGTAAGCACGGGCTACCAACACCGCGACAGCACGGTGAAGCGATCGGCTGAGGGGAACACTTGGCGCTGATAATTGGAGGGAGGAAGAGGAGGTGTACGATCCACCTCATATGTATATCCTCGACAACACCTTCCAGTTTCAAGGATACTGGGTATCGAACTACCAGGCGCTGGCTGGGTAATGGCTTTTCCGTTCATGCACAGAGATGCAGCTTCTCAGATGTGATGGCTCATCGGTATCAACGTTTACGACCGTGGCCAGTCATGCTGTCTCGGGTAAAGGGGCTCGAGAGGTTGAAGATGAAAGGGGCTGAACAACCACCGTTGTCGACACTTGTCGTCCCCCGGTTATACATTCATCCTCACCCTCCAAAAACTCTGCGCTAGCACGTCGGCGGTTTGTGGGGTCGTTGTTGAGCAGGGGTTGCACTGGACAGCCAGCTGCCGGCTCAACACTCATCAGCTTCACTTCTTCAGTGCGGGGAAGCTCGGGGGTTGGACACTGAGACGCTGACGATGAGCTGGAACAGGTTAGTCACTTTGCCACGAAGAGTCCCGGCATCTGGGGTTTGGCTGTTGCCATGCACTCTGGATTTTCTGGGGTTACGATTCGTAATTGTGCCGGTCGCTTGTGAATAGCAGGTTTGGTGTAGCTCTTGCGGGGGAGACTAAGCAGCCAGATCTTAGCTCGTTGGGCGGCTGGGGTATGGTTGCTAACGGCAAGATTCCCCATGGAGAAGGGAAGACTAGTTTAGTGCGTGGGTTCCCATGCGCATGGATGAGTCGAATACTCATGTACCCCCTTGAGATTTGCTTTTCTACAAAAGAAGAGCCATCTCGACTTCAGCAAAGAGATCCCAGGATACATTCAGCCTTCTTCCCTCGTTCGCATCACTCACCCCCTTTGTCCACCTTGTAAGAGGTCGCGTCACCGGCCCCCCTTCTCTTGTATCATATTGTCAATCGGCATTAGACGCGTCAAGATGACTCTCCTTGCGCTCAAGGAAGATAGGCCAACGCCAAAGGCCGTTTACAACTGGCGCGTCTACACATGCGCGGCGATTGCCAGTTTTGCCTCGTGCATGATTGGCTATGACTCTGCCTTCATTGGCACTACCCTTGCGCTGCCGTCCTTCACCAAGGAATTCGATTTCGCCTCTTACACACCTGGTGCTCTCGCCTTGCTCCAGTCCAACATCGTATCCGTTTACCAAGCTGGTGCCTTTTTTGGATGTCTATTCGCTTATGCGACTAGTTACTTCTTGGGTCGTCGCAAATCCCTAATCGCCTTCTCCGTCGTCTTCATCATTGGCGCCGCCATCATGCTCGCTGCTGATGGTCAGGGGCGAGGCATTGATCCGATTATCGCAGGCAGAGTGCTGGCTGGAATCGGCGTCGGAGGTGCCTCCAACATGGTACCCATTTACATCTCAGAGCTTGCCCCTCCCGCCGTTCGCGGTCGTCTTGTCGGCATTTACGAGCTCGGCTGGCAGATTGGTGGTCTGGTCGGGTTTTGGATCAACTACGGCGTCAACACTACAATGGCCCCAACGAGGTCGCAGTGGCTAATTCCCTTCGCGGTTCAGCTCATCCCCGCCGGCCTCTTGTTCTTGGGCAGCTTCTGGATTCCCGAGTCGCCACGGTGGCTTTTTGCCAATGGCAAGAGAGAAGAGGCAATGAAGGTCTTGTGCTGGATACGCAACCTCGAGCCCACCGACAGATACATCGTGCAAGAGGTTTCATTCATTGACGCTGACCTGGAAAGGTATACCCGAGAGGTCGGCAATGGGTTCTGGAAACCGTTTTTGTCCCTCAAGCAGCGCAAGGTCCAGTGGCGCTTTTTTCTTGGTGGCATGCTCTTTTTCTGGCAGAATGGGAGTGGTATCAATGCCATCAACTATTACTCCCCCACCGTATTCCGGAGCATCGGCATTACTGGTACCGACACCGGCTTCTTGACAACAGGCATCTTCGGCGTCGTTAAGATGGTGCTCACCATTATCTGGCTTCTGTGGCTTGTTGATCTTGTTGGCCGCCGCCGCATACTCTTCATCGGTGCGGCTGGCGGATCGCTCTGCATGTGGTTCATTGGAGCCTACATCAAGATTGCTGATCCTGGGTCGAACAAGGCGGAAGACGCAAAGCTGACCTCTGGCGGCATCGCAGCCATCTTCTTCTTCTACCTCTGGACTGCCTTCTACACCCCTTCATGGAACGGTACACCTTGGGTCATCAACTCAGAGATGTTTGACCAAAACACACGGTCCCTGGGTCAGGCATCAGCCGCGGCCAATAACTGGTTCTGGAACTTTATCATTTCTCGTTTCACGCCGCAAATGTTCATCAAGATGGAGTACGGCGTGTACTTCTTCTTTGCGTCGCTCATGCTGCTATCGATTGTGTTCATCTACTTCTCTTTACCCGAGACCAAATCGATCCCTCTCGAGGCCATGGATCGCTTATTTGAAATCAAGCCCGTTCAGAATGCCAACAAGAATGTCATGGCCGAGCTCAACTTCGACAGAAATCCAGAGCGAGAGGAGTCGTCGTCGCTGGACGACAAGGACAGGGTGACACAGACCGAGAATGCAGTCTAAGGTCTGCAATTTGCCTTGCTTTCAGGGTGCTTGAATATGACCAGGGGCGTTGCGAGCTGTGGCAGCCAGCCGCCGTGGATACGATGTTTTGTTTGAAATGTGGGCGATACCTTTGTTGTAATTACTTGACTTTCTTGCCCGAGGTTGAAGAGGCTGATGTGATGACAGCTACAAAGCGGGAGTATACAGTTGCGTTGTCTGAAGCACACTATTGAGTTTCTACAAGTATCCTTTCCTTTTTACGGCACTGTGTTTTGATTGTCTCCCGCATATCTTGGTCTGTCCCGTGGTCAAGGAGATTCTTACTTCACTCTTGTAGATCCACCGAGTCTTTCTGTTTGCGATTGGGCAACGGGTGCCTTTGCTTTTGACAAGACATCCCCACGTTGCAACACTCCGACATCGTGATGTCTTTGCACGAAACAATGTTTGTGGAGCTGGCAGAGTTAAAACGAAGATTTACTATTTCTATCACAACCGATGTCACACCCCGATCTGTAGAGCGACCCTGTTTCCATTCCACTGTCGTTTTACATGCTTAGAGGACCCTGTTATCTCAACTGGTGTGCGATTTGGAAGCTTCCGCCAATTTTGCAGCAATGACTTCCTTGATCTGTTGAATGGGAAGTTCCTCATTTGTACGACCGGTCCAATACTTGTCCTGCAGAACAAAGGGGGTGAGAGATCAGTTGAGTTGTCCTCCACAGTGCAATGTAAGCTCAGGACGGATACATACCTGCTCAATCCCCTGCCAAATCAAAGCCTCCGTGCCCAAGATAACCTGCCACCCCTCGTGCTCCGCCAACGCTCCCAACTCGGTAAACGGGCTAGGGTTATAGCACATCTCCAGCATAGCACCCTTCTCCTCCTTCATCAAGAACGTCTCGACGATCCTCCTCACCAACATCTCCTTCTCCGTCTTAGGCGGGAAATCCGGAATGCAAGCGACTATCGCCCCCGGCCCCTCCAGGCCTTCAGCCTGCTCCACGCTCGCCACATGCACCAGGCGATCGCCGTACCCGCGCTCCGTGCACTCGGCAATCACCGCGTCCACCTCGCTCTTGTCCCGGTTCACGAGGTAGATGTCCGTTGCGCCGAGCCACTTGTGCAGCGCGTACACGGCCGATCGCGCCGCGCCGCCGCCGCCAATTACCAGTGCCGGCCGGCTCTCGTACACCCGGGCGGGGTCAGATACATTTTGAACGAAGCTCTCGCGCACGCCAATCACGTCGGTGTTGGCGCCGCAGTACAGGCGACGGCCGGTGGCTGGGTCGGTTTTGAGAAATAGGGTATTGCAGGCGCCGACATCGCGACATTCGGGAGTCAGGTGGTCAAGGTGAGGGATGATGGCCACTTTGTGAGGCATGGTCACTGAGGCGCCGTAGAAGTCTGGGTGCTGGGTCAGCTGGAGGAAGAGTGGTATAGAGGGGGAGTCGAGACGAAGTTGGGCCCAGTTGAGAGAGAGGTGGGAGTAAACGATGGAGTGGAGGAGAGGGGACATGGAGGCCGCGAGTTTTTGGCCGAAGAGATAGCCATGTCTGGTGTAGGGGGTGATGTCGGGTGTGCTGGTGAGGTGGAGGAGCTCTTGCTGTCGGGGCTGGACGACCGACATCGTCGTCGTCGCCGATGTTGTGGTGGTTGCTGTCGACATGGTGATATGTGCTTGATTGTGTGGTGTATCTGGCGATGAGAAGTCACAGTCACTCGAAAATCAAGATTCGACAGAAGACCGGAATGAAAATAAAGAGAACCTAAGGAATTCCCGAGATCGTCTAACTCGGGAGAGAGATGCCATAAGGCGTGGCTATAAGTTATTCCCCCATTTTCATTACTACTTGGGCGCGTGGAGTTGACAGGGTTCAATTCGACTAAGCATCTCCATCGTAACAAAGCACTTCGTGGAGGAGGATGAATGAGAACGCTCGAATGTCCTCGGGGGTTTGGGGAAGCTGGGGCTGCCTAGTGGTCCGAAGTGGTCCTGCATAAGGGAAAAGATTAAGGATGAGCGTTTTGCCTTTTGGCATGCTCTGGGGATTTCAGTGATTGAGAAGGAAGAGCTCTCTTCAACAGCCTCGGAAGATCTGAACACTTTCGGGTACCTGTCTGTTGCGGGGATTGCTAGGTACCGAGTTGCTTTGGGCAGTCCAAGCTCGCAAGGGCGTCCCAAACTGGAGCCGCCCTACCGCTTAAATACTTACCCAGCAGTCTGTCCACCCCCCCCCCCTTCTTCTTTCTGGGCGCCCAACGGCTTACCCTTTTAACGTATGCACAGAACTCATGTTCTCGGCTCCCAGACATTTTGATGTGACGGGCCCACAAGGCATGTCAGATATCGTTATCCGTCCGATTCTTTTTGGTATCTCGACCTTTGCCAACGGAAAGCGTTGTGGCAACCGATTTTACGCAGCTTCTTATCAGTGTCCACCGGTCCAATTGACACTGTCCCGGAAAAGACGCGAATTCGGGAAATGGAATCTTACCTGGGAGCCGAAATCACAGTCCGGGTAGGTTATAGAGCATATAGTGAACTGTCAAAGTTCTAGACCTGGACCAGCCACTTGGAGTCGTTGTTTCAGTTATACCTACATTCACTCACTGTTGACTTTCAATCATACTTACTTAGACGGAGCAACGCGCCAGAATCCAAATTGTTGCATAGCTGCGGTATCACCAAGTGGCTTCCCATAATAGTTTGCCATTCGATGAGACAGCTAACTGGAAGACCGGTACTCGCAGGTTGGACGATTACACGGAAGGATTCGGTATTCCGTGTTTCATCTGTCAAAAGTCCCTTCCCATATGAATCCGAGGTACTTTGACTGGATCTCGATACAAGCTGGCCAGCGAGGTGCATGTCTTGGGAGGCTGTCAACTGCAGGACGGCCGGCTAAGTGTTTAACACGCAAGGGTGGAAGATGTCTTGTCCCGTCATCCAAGCCCGTCAACATTCGAGGCCATCTGATCGTTAAAGAGATGCTAAATCTTGTGAAACGCTCATAGGTCGCTTACCTTCGGCCCACCCGTTGATGCTTTATTCCGCTCAGCAAACTTCGGCTTCCATCCGGCGGTTCACCGTTTACATCCGTTATCGTTGCGGTTATTGGCCGATTCTTCGCAAACCGAAGCGATGACATCCCGAACATCTGCAATACACCGCCACGGCCGGCGTCTTTATCACACCTCCTATGGGAGATGAAAGTGCCTTGATACCCCTAGTCATTTGAAGATTCAGGATGGGAGACGGCTGGCCGCTTGCGGAGTTACGTTTGAGTCTTGGTTGCAGGAACGCTTGCCGTATTGAATGAGACCACGAGAAGGTCAAATCAAATTTTGGAAAACCCCAACTGCTTCCTCATTGCCTTCACTTCCCATATCAATGGGGCACATCCTGTGACTATCTTGGTGCTTTATTTCCTCACCTTTTGACGATACAAGCTCAAGGACACCGAGGTGATAAACAGTTCTTCAAGGACACTATCTCACCTCAATATCAAGAACCCGTCTCATCATCTCTTATTTCTCCAGGATCCCCCCACCAACAACATCGGCTTTTTTCCCCCTATCCTCAAGACCCATTAACACACTCACTTCGCTGAGCCTTTCGCCATGCCATTAAAGCTAGCCATTAGTTCCATGTCCCTAGGGCGCTGCTTTGCCGGCCACTCTTTGGACAGCAAGCTTGATGCCGCTCAACGATACGGCTATCTCGGTATCGAGCTTTTTTATGAGGATCTGGTCGACGTTGCAGAGCATTTGTCGAACGAGCGTCCTTCTCCCGAAGGCCCTTTTGTCGAAGCTCAGATAGCCGCCGCTCGTCATATTCTCCAAATGTGTCAAGCCAGGGGGCTTGAGGTCGTCTGCCTCCAGCCTTTCATGCACTACGACGGCCTTAACGACAGGGCAGAACATGAGCGTCGTCTGGAGAAGCTAGCACTATGGATTGAGCTCGCTCATGAGCTTCACACCGACATCATTCAGATCCCAGCCAACTTCCTCCCTGCCGACCAAGTCAGTGACAACCTCGACCTGATTGTCTCAGATCTTTGCAAGGTGGCCGATATTGGAGCTCAAGCTTTGCCCCCTATCCGCTTTGCCTACGAGAGTCTTTGCTGGAGCACCCGTGTCGACCTCTGGGAGCGCTGCTGGGACATCGTACAACGCGTTGACCGCCCCAACTTTGGCATCTGCCTTGACACCTTCAACATCCTCGGCCGCATCTATGCCGACCCTACATCTCCTAGCGGTAGGACACCCAACGCAAAAGAGGCAGTCAGGAAGTCCATCGCCAACTTGGTCTCGCGCGTGGATGTCTCCAAAGTCTTCTACGTCCAGGTGGTTGACGCCGAGAGGCTGAGCAAGCCACTACTGCCCGGCCACCCCTATTACAATCCAGAGCAGCCGGCGAGGATGAGCTGGTCGCGCAATTGTAGACTGTTCTACGGCGAAACAGAGTATGGTGCGTATCTTCCCGTGAAGGAGGTTGCTCGAGCCTTTTTCCACGGCATTGGTTTCGAGGGCTGGGTCAGTTTAGAGCTTTTCAACCGCAGAATGTCTGAGGAGGGGCCTGAAGTGCCGGAGGAACTTGCCATGAGAGGCGCTATCTCGTGGGCCAAGTTGGTGCAAGACCTGAGGATACCGGTGGAGGGGCCATTGGTGACGACGCCCCGGGTCTCTGCTTCGCTGTAAATTCAACGCTGGTTGTTCTTACTACTTGGATTATCGTTATAGACTGACTCTACTACTATACAAAATGCTGGGCGTTCTCTTTTTTTTCTCTTTCTTTTTCTCTTGGTACGTTAGTTTTCAAATCGGAGACTGGCACGTGTATCAGGAGTCGGTGACATAGTTCTCTTGAGCCCAGGTTTTTTTTCATTTCATTCAATCATAATTTCTTCATCTCAGTTTCTTCTCGACCTTGACTGTAGTAAGATCTTAGACGGGTGGAAGACAATATACATCCAGGCTCTACATTAATAGGGCTATAATTCCTGACATCAAAGCATGCTTTCCCATGCTTTTGGACTTCCCTTCTTCGGTGTGGATCCAAGCAAGAGAGATCCTAAACTTTGAGCATTCAATCCGACGCTTCATACTAACCTTGTAGACTAGAGGTAAGCTGCTACAATGCCATCAACGCCACCTGATATCACAGATTCAAGATGACCAGCTTCATCTTGTGTATGCAGGTGCCAACTTGGACGTTGAAGATCAGCATCCCATCCCAATGACGTTCTCAAAACTTCATGTGTCTCCCAAGAAACTCCAGCGCAGCACTATACCCAAACGGCCCCAAACCGCAAATGACTGCCACCGCCTTGTCACTCAAGTAACTATGATGTCTGAACGCCTCTCTCGCATGCACATTCGACACGTGAACCTCCACAAACGGAATTCCTGTCCCCAGAAGCGCGTCGCGGATGCCTATACTCGTGTGCGTATAAGCGCCGGGGTTAATGATGATGGCCGACACTTTGTCTCCGGGACCCACTCCTGCTTCCGTCGTGGTTGCAGCACTTGACGGCGACGGTGACGGTGGAGACGGGAAGAATCCCGCTGCTTGATGGATACGGTCGATGATGGCTCCTTCATGGTTGGACTGGAAGGTTGTAAGACGAAGACCTAGCGAGAACGCCAGAGTATGGGAGGCTTGCTCAATGTCATGGAGGGTTGTTGAGCCGTAGATTTGGGGCTCCCGGGTGCCGAGGAGGTTGAGATTGGGGCCATTGATGAGGAGAATGTGACGGCGGGACGCCATTGTGCTTGGTACCTCTGGTTGGGTGCGATGGGCTTGTGGGAGATGGGCGCAACAGGGAATGCGTCCGAAAGATGCCGCCGCACTATACCCAACAATTCACAGGCCAGAAGGTTGAATTGAGATGTGTTTATGTTTTGTTGTTTAATTACGGGTTCCCTCATCATTCCCATCTCTAATACACGGACAAGTTGTCTGCACGACGAGCGGATGAGTGATTACCCGTCCCCGCTCCGCTCCGCTTCCGTGACATTGCTCGTCACTGCACTGATGACCATTCGAAAGGCCGTCATGGGTTTGTTTTCTGCTTCTGCCATTGCACCTTGGATCAATGAGCGAGACCCCCCGTCTTCGATTTGCACGATTGGAACGTACGGAGTGGTGAAGAGGCTGTATTGGTTTAGTGTTCTCTCACATGATACCTCCGGTTGAGTGGCTGAGGTCGTGCAAGTCGTTAACCCCATGAGCCACCAAGAAAGGGTTAGGATTTATCCAAGAAAAAAGGCATAGAAAAATTTGGTACCTAAGGGCGGGGAAGCTGTCAGCTTATGGCTTTACCGAGATCTTCGACTACCCGTGCATCACCTCTTTTCGGCTGGTTAAAGACTCATCCGTTGATGGGCGAACGTTTTACCCAGCAAAAGTCCATCAATGAGAGAGTTCGTCTGCACATGGGCCGCAAGAAGCTGCTGGTATCCGGAGGAAATAGATGAACATTCATATAGCGGAAAGGGTACACACTGCGCGTAGCAAGCTGAACTGGTACACGGTGCTTGATTGAACCTGATAATAGTGTAGTTGACGGAACATCCGTTCAATGCAGACAATTGTTGAAGTATTCACCACCTTGGACAATTCAGGAAAGTGGGCCCTCGCGTTAATGATCACCGAAGTTCCACTATCCTTGATGATGCCGGTCCGTCGAATGAGCTCGGCGGGAGGCCAACCTAGACGTTCTTCGCTTTCCAACGGTTCTAATGTAGGATGCCGTAGGCGGAATCAAGCCCGTCCCTGCCCACCTTGTTAGCCCATGGAACAGCATATGCTGAGGAGTGACAGAGTAGGTCAGAATGGAGATGTTTAAACTCAATCTTGCTATTCAGCTTTTCCCTTGACACCAGCGACTGCTTGTCAAGGACTCTACCGACAACACCTAAGGCTTGGGAGTATGTGTGCTTCATTCCCTCCTTCGATATCAGTGATCAGCAGCCATGACAACAAGAACAACAACAGCAGCTGAGCTCGACGAAATCTACACCTTTGCCGTCCAACTCGGAAAAGATGCAGGTAACCTCCTCATGGAAGCTGCCCGCTTGCGATTCAGCAACAACAATGCCAACCACGACAAGGAATCCACAAGCCAAGAGTTCACCGAAAAGGACTCCGCTGTCGATATTGTGACCCAAACCGACGAAGACGTCGAAGCTTTCATCAAATCTGCCATCAATACACGCTATCCTTCCCACGACTTCATTGGGGAAGAGACCTACGCGAAATCGTCCCAGTCCACGCGCCCCTACCTCGTCACCCATACGACTCCAACATGGGTCGTCGACCCCCTTGACGGCACGGTCAATTATACCCATCTCTTCCCCATGTTCTGCGTCTCCATCGCCTTTCTCGTCGACGGCACACCGGTAATAGGAGTCATATGCGCGCCGATGCTTGGCCAACTTTTCACGGCCTGCAAAGGGCGGGGTGCTTGGCTTAATGAGACGCAACGGTTGCCGCTGGTGAGGCAGCCGATGCCGAAGAGCGCACCGGGGGGTTGTGTGTTTAGTTGCGAATGGGGCAAGGATCGGAAGGACAGGCCAGAAGGGAATTTGTACCGAAAGGTGGAGAGTTTCGTTAATATGGCTGCCGAGGTTGGGGGGCGAGGCGGGAAGGGAGGAATGGTGCATGGTGTCAGAAGTTTGGGAAGGTAAGTCTCTCTTATACCCAGTATCCCCTCTTGTTGGTTCTGGTCTACGAAGTCCTGACACTGAAACAGCGCGACCCTGGATCTCGCTTACACGGCAATGGGTTCTTTTGACATCTGGTGGGAAGGAGGGTGCTGGGAATGGTACGTACAACATTTTTGCCTGCTCACAGTTATTGACTTGGAAGTGTTGACTAACAAGAATGGGATGGGCTTAGGGATGTGGCGGCAGGTATAGCGATCCTGCAGGAGGCTGGAGGTCTGATAACCTCGGCAAACCCGCCTGAAGATTGGGCAACGGCAGAGATACCAGACGTGAAGCTGGGTAGCCGTTTATACCTTGTCGTCCGGCCTGCAGGGCCGTCTGAAGGGGAGACAGCACGTGAAGGGCAAGAAAGAACGATCAGAGAAGTTTGGAGGCGTGTGCGTGCTTTGGACTACACGCGACCAGGTGCTTGAAGTGAGGTAGAAGATCCATTATAATCCTTTTCACTCTATCTTTTTTTCTTTTTTTTGTTTCCATTTTGATCAACGAGTGGCCAAGATTTTCCCAGTTCATGGTGGGATCCCAAAGCAGCAGCGACATAGAAAGCCACAAGCATGACAGGATAAAGGTGACTAGTAACTCACCCTTGGCGCAAACATGACTGACCCAGCATGCCAGTGACACGACACTTGTAACATCCTCGGCTGACGAGTTTAATCTATGCAAGAGTCCGGGCCACAAAGGCCTCACTAGGCTGTCTGACGCCCAAGGTTGGAAGGGGTAACGATGGTTGTTTCGCTGATCAATTGTCATTTCGGTCCTGTGTGTCAGCTCTCGAAACGGTCACCTTCATGCTCAGAACTACCGGCAATGGACGGTGGAAAGGCAAAGTGGTAAGAGATGGGTATTGCCAAACAAAGCGCTGTTTGTAAGCTGGTTAATCCAAACCTGGGAACGAAACGGAAGGACCACCGTGTTTACCCTTCTTGTTGCCCTTTCTCCGCTTCTTTTTTCTTTCCCTCTTGGGGCGGTCGCTGTCGCTATCGCTCCCGTCATCGTCGTCCGAGTCGTCGCTGCCGGCCGGTCGCTTGACACCTTGGTCGGCTTCCACCACCTCCTCCTCTTCCTCGTCTTCTTGGGCGGAACCCGCCTCGGCCCAGACCTTGACGGTCCTGCCGCCACCACTGATCAGCCTGTTCTCGTAGTCGAAGTTTAAAGCAGCAACGCCCTCGACCTCGTCGTGCTGGAATGTAGTCTGGACCTCTCTGCGCTTCAGATCGACAATCTTGATGGTGCCATCGCCGACGCCAACCACGGCCTTCTTGCCCCAGCCGAGCTCATCGGGAACACGGACAATAGCGTCGAGGCTTTCTCCGTCTTTTTTGGTCTCTCCGGGAGCCACATAGATGCGTTCCTGCTGGTCATCCCAGGCGCCACGATCCCATAGGGTTAAGACACCCCCGCCAGTGCCGACAGCTAGAACGGCGTTGTTGCGCATGTGCTTGGGACCCAAGCCGGTAGGGATGACTGTCGAGCACAGCAGCTCGTCCTCCTGGTCCTCCGAGGTGGCCATGATGCCATGTCTCAGGTCGGTGACGGCCAGGGTGGCGCCGCCGGTAGAAACCCACTGCTTGGGGAAACCAGAGGTGCTCTCAGACGAAGGGGGAAGAGGGGTCAGACTGGAGATGTAGTCGGAATGGGGGACATGCTTGCGGACGGGCTTGGGGTTCAGAGAGCCATTCTCGCGGAGGTCGAAGATGTAGAGAGAGCCAGAGTCGGTGCCGAGCAGCAGGGTCTGGGGCGAGAGGGTGTGGAGGATGGCGGGGGTATCGCTCTGACTGCTGGTACTGTTGACGGGGGGCAGGCCGATCTTGGAGATGACGACGCCGGTCTCGGGAGAGAAGTGCTTGACGATGGAGTCGGTACCGGCCGAGTAGAGGGCTGGGACGGCGAATCTGGTTAGCGGGCGCTGTACCCAGGTTGATTTATACGTACAAGGCCAACTTACACTCCCCATCGGTGCTATAAGTCAGAGTGCGACAGCTGCCCTTGTGGCGGTGGGTGCTCCAGACACTCTTGATGACACCCTTGCCGCCGGTTATGCTGCTGTTCTCGTCCTCGTCGTCGCTGTCCTCGTTGGTTGGGATGCGGAAGGTCTCGACGCGGCCGTTGGATAGGCCGACTGTAAGCAGAGGCTTGGAGGGGTGCACCACCTGTGTGAACAGGTCCGCCGAGAGCGGCAGGGTGCAGAGGTTTTCCAGCATGACTTGTTTCTCTGTTTTACTGTTGTTGTTGTTGTTGTTGTTGTTGTTGTTGTTGTTGTTGCGGTTGGCTTTGTTGCTGCGTCTGGGTCAGTCAGGTCGGTGCAGACATACGATGTGGGCCTCGGTGAATTGAGTTGTAGCGAGAATGAGGTACGGATAGGTAGGGAGGTAGGTAAGTACACACCGTTGCCGACAAGCAGGTGACGGAAAGCTCCTTTTTTTTTTTTTTTTTTTATCCTTTTTTTTTTTTTCTTCTTTTTTTTTTTTTTTTTTTTTTTTTTTTTCCCACACTTGGAGCTCGGGTCTCGTCGCCCTTTCTTGATCTTGCCCAGTCCGGCTTGGCGCCGACAGTAAAGCCCCGTGCCATCAAGGTCCTTGATGGGAATCTATGTACTACTGTACACGCATGGTACATACCAAACAGTGGAGTCTGTGCGTAGAGATCCCTAGCCGCCTATGCCAGAGCCACTCATTGAGATTGAGCCTTGAGAGACGAACGGCCCGCCGGGATGCAATGGATCATGATGGATGTCGTCACCGCATCCACCTCTTCCTGGTTTGGAGAAGGTCCCCAATCAAGCTTCACAAACACGCACTGCATTCATTACCTACACAGTACACTACTTGTAGACGACTACTGGACGCCAACACACTACACGCACTGCACATTGAATGAATGACTGCGACCATGACCCGTCAAGATGCCCAACCCATCCATCATCCATTCCTTTACCTTGCTTCCTGGCACCTTCTTCATACACCTATCACCATAGTATATCTCTAATCGATTTCCCCATCTTTGCAACGCATCGAAAATATCTCGGTGATGATCTTCCTCAAGCTTCCACTGCTCTTGGGCGCCGTGATGCTGGCCATGATGGGCGGCTCCGGTGTCATGGCCGCCACCAGCCGCCCTCTTCGGTGCATCATGTATTTGACTGGGTATGTTCCAGTGCTCGTCACTCAACCACTGCACAGCTGATTTCTTCCCTCAATCGCAGCCAGCACCCGGTTGCGCCCCAAATCGACCAGCTCGACCATGTCACGCATGTTGCCCTGGCATTCATGAGTCCCAGCATCTTCAACGATCCTCTGAACCAAGAATGGCCTTTGTTCACCACCGTCCATCATGTCCGCCCCCGCTTCCCCAACCACACAAAGGTCTTGATCGCCATTGGCGGCTGGGGCGACACCATTGGCTTCTCCGTGGCCGCCCTGAACGACGAAACGCGCACTCTGTTCGCCGCCAATGTTGCCAAGATGGTGGAGGCCACGGGCGCTGATGGTGTCGACGTCGACTGGGAGTACCCCGGAGGCAACGGTGAAGACTACAAGCAAATCCCCAACTCGGACAAGCGCTGGGAGATTGCCGCCTACCCCCTCTTGCTCCAGGAACTGCGCTCTGCCCTCGGCCCCGACAAGGTCATCTCAGCCGCCGTCCCGGGCTTGCACCGCGACATGCTGGCCTTCACCCGCGAGACCGTCCCCCGCATCATGCGCCATGTCGACTTTCTCAACGTCATGACGTACGACATGATGAACCGCCGCGACACCGTCACCAAGCACCACACCGGCGTCGAGCTGAGCCTCCAGGCCGTCGATGCCTACGTGGCCGCCGGTGCCGCCCCCCAGAAGCTGAACCTCGGCTTTGCCTTTTACCTCAAATACTTCAAGACCGAGCAAGACGCCTGCGCCCAAACGTCACCAGTGGGCTGCCCCACCGTTGAGATGGAAGATCCCGGATCAGGAGCCGATCTGGGCCGCTCTGGTGCCTTTTCCTGGCACGACGACGTGCCAAAGCATCTCCGTGCTTCCTATGATAGGGCTCTAGCCCAGGGAGTTTACGACGATGGCCAAGGCGGCTACTACTACTGGGACCCCACCGAGGCACTGTGGTGGACGTTCGATACCCCGGATGCCATCAAGCAAAAGTTCCCCAAGGTCATGGAGAAGCGCCGGCTGGGAGGCGTTTTTGCTTGGGGCCTAGGCGAAGATGCCCCCAACTACGAGCACCTGGCCGCGCTGAACGAGGGTCTGGCCAAGTTAAAGGGACAAGTTACTGATGAGAGGGATGAGTTATAGCCACTGTGAATGGGGACTTTGGAAAGGATGCAAAGTGTTGACGGAATCAAGCGCAAATAGAAAATGTTTTCCGTTGTTAATAGGCTATAGCCGAGGAAGAAGGGGGTTGAGACTAAGTAGGTTCTCTCGTTTAAACTTGCTTTCACTTTACTTTCATCCCTTTTCCCGCTGATTTTGGTCCCTACCTTTGGTTTCAGTCATTGCTTTCATTCTACCTGGCATTGACAAGCTGTGTAGCATTCGCCATTTCGTGGCCTAAAACTCCAGCTGCGTTTGTTTTCTTTTCTTCCTCATTAATATCCTCCCCCACCACCGAGCAAATTCAACACTGCCACTTGCCTTCAGTCGATTTCTTCGCAACGAGGACATGCCCTTTTCCCCTCGAGATTCATCCTAATGGCACAACCTCACCGTGAAGTGCCGCCTACGGCTGCCACTTGCCCTCCAGGCGCGTTTTCCATAGGCCAGATGCGCGTCGAGAGCTTGACGCCCACTGTCGTCCGTAAACATCTCATGCCCATAATCCTCCTTCACGGAGACTATCATACAGCATCAGTCAGGAACCTGTTTCCCCCGTCTTTCTGGGGTTAGGCTAACCAAGTGTGATTTGCGCCAGGTGTGGTTCACTAAGCCTGACAGGCGCCCGGGCTGGGCTTATTTCTTTGCCGAGCGCGGACATCGAGTCTATGCTCCGCATCTGCCATTTCATGGCCGTTCCGGTGCCTTGGTTCACTACGAACGAGTGAAAGCCATCACCCCTCAGACCGTCGAGAACCTATACACGGCCATCAACAAGACCAACAACCCAGAATGGCCAGCGGCAAAGACGCACACACAGTGGCCAGGAGTAAGTATATGAAGTGTTAGAAACCATCATTGGACAGTCTCGGGCTGATAGCTAAAACAAAACCCAGAGCGGCGTTCGGGGCGATCCCATTTTTGACGAATATCTCAAACAACTGGTTCCATTGTATATGGACCCCCACGAGCGCCAGGCAGCCGCTCAAGAGGCAGTTGCGAGTCTCTTGCGGTTCCTGAAGCGTCCGGCTATCCTTGTCGGTCAAGGCAGCGGCGCCAACGTTGCCTGGCTGGTAGCCGATGTGGCACCTGACCTCATCCATGCAATCGTTGCAGTCGAGCCACTCGGGCCTCCGTTTGGCTCTGCTCTTGGGCACAAAAATGGACAACTGGGACCGACCAGCACGTTCACAAGGGCTGCCGGCATTCGTCAATATGGCCTGGCGGATATACCGATGCAGTTTGACCCACCGGTTGCAGCACCAGAGTCATTTGAGGAGCTGTTTGGTGGTACATATCCAGCTTTTGAACCCATCCCGGTCAGCAAGTATTACGCAAGGGGTCGGCAAGGCAAGTTCTGCTTCGAACAAGACCCTGCTGGATTACCTGTTGGAAATTCCACCGAATCCAGGGTAGAGCCCCGGAAGCTCATGAATCTGATCGAAATCCTCCAACTTGTGGTAACAACGGAAGCGAGCTTCCACCGTTTCTCGGACTGGGCAACGGTACATTTTCTTCGTCAGGCCGGGGCTACCGTCAAGCATCACAGACTCGAGGAGCATGGAATCCGTGGAAATGGACACCTCTGCTTCCTGGAGAAAAACAGCAACGATGTGGCCAACCATGTGCTCAACTGGTTGCATAACGAGACAGATGTCCCAAAATTACAGGCTCTTGAAGCTCGGCCCTCTCCTTCCCAGGCCATCAGCCCATCAGGCGACCATAGGCAGTCCTTAATTCTGCCCTCTGAAAAGACATGCCCAACGAAACAGAGACCAGTGGAAACTGAGCTGAAGCCGACCAACACCATAGCGAACTCAAGTCAAAGATAAAGCAGAAGGGTACAAACCAACTCGTCTCAGCCTGGCGATGTTCGGACCAGCGACTGTCACAATGCCCCCATAGTATCCACTCCTCATTCCTCGACCGTCGTGAAGACTCAGGTTGCGCGAGGTGTTACCCCCGTACCCTACACACCCCACAACAAACTTATCCAGCAAATTGGTCAAAGCAAGCTGGTCAAAGCACGCTCAGCGAACGGCGAACTGTGGAAATTGCGTCTAGTCCCAATAATCCAACTCCACGTCCGATACAGATTCTTGAGAGACAACGAACATCGGCTTGGGCCAAGCTTCCGACAGTACCAGAAGCCAATTAACAAAGCGGCGTGGCGAACATTTCCGACAAGCAGACGCACATTACGAATAACTTGGTGCAAAGACAACAACTCAGTTCAGTCGAAAGGGTTGTTGTAAAAAGCGGCAAGTGCCTAAATTACTCAAGGGATACGGCATGTAGACAAAGCCGGTAGGGTTCTCCATCTTTTTCTGACCGTGAGGCTAAATTATCCTTCTTGATATCCACGTCTGCCTTCGCTTATCACAGGATATCCCATTCCCATCTAGCTTCCTTGAGTCTTTTCTTACAGGCTCCATACTGCGGCTCATGGATCGCCTCGTTATACTCATAGAGTTCTTAATTAGTGGTATAATTCAGCTGAAATCCCATAAATCATCCGGCCAAACGAGGAGTACCACTAAGATCTGCCAAGTGTTCGGAGGTTCGAACAATATCGTTTTAATCCGGAGCAACCTTCTTATGTATGCTGATATTGCCATGCTTCAAGTAAAGGGTGTGTGGGCGGCCGGATCTGCTGCAGTAGCAAAAGATGGAATAGCTTTGTATAGCATGCCAGGTGCAGTTCGAGTCCATGAGTGCAGCAAATAGACGGCTACTTGTGTGCTCACAACATTGTGCTTGGTTGCATCTAGTAGCCTTTGGTGACACAGCATGACAACCAGTAACTGCCTCTTGTCATGTTGTCTATTCCCCATCTCGCCGTTCTTGTATCTCCCATCGCCCATTCTTGCTCATATTTTCTGCCGATTCATAAACTTGTCAGACCCACATAGCCAGACCAGAGGTCTCAACTATGGCATGACGAATTTCCGTTCTCACCCGAACAATGTCACATCCCCGAAAATGACACCGGTGCTGTTAAACTTGAGGGATTGCCATTCAAGTTCCTACATATACAGTGCTTTCGACCTTCGGCCTCCAGTCAAAGTGCAATTCATTCACGATCTGACCTGGTAGCATGCTCAAATTAGGTTATGGCCCTAGCCAGCATGCGTTCGTAATATTTGTCTGAACTAGCAACCTTTCCAATTATTCCAGGTTTTACCATTTCGAATTGCGATAACATCTCATTGACTCTTTGACACCTTTTTAGCTACTTCTTAAGAAAGCAGACAAGATTGTGATTTGCCCAACCGAGTTGAGGATAGGGTATAGAGGTTCCAGCAGTCATCAAGTCAAGACCATGCTCTCTAGCTCGTCGAACTCATCCAGCTCATCCAGCTCATCTCCGAATAAGGTGTCCTCACTTCTCGCAGACACTTCGGCATCGCACGAGCCAATTTTAAGTGTAGGCTTACCTGAGCACTGCGTACAACATAGATTTTCTTCGACTTCTCACGTAGCGGGTTTTTCTAATCACAACTCTTGGTTTTCTCACGCGATGGCCTCTTCATCTCAGCAGTCTGAGTCGAACAACACTACACAGAATGCCAACGCTACCATCGGTCACAACAGCAACGACACCACCGACAACAACGACAGCAGTGACAACAACAACAGCAACAACCACAACATTGGCAAAAACAGCCAGAATGATGCTCACAATGAGCACGCTCCCGTGGCCATAAATGTACGCTCTACAGCAACAGCCCCTAACCCCGTACAACATATCCATTACGAGTCCCTCCCAGCCCTCAACTTGAACCACCCTCCATTCTACGGCACATATCGTGACTCAACCGACGGCGTCCCGCAGTACCATCCCTTTTCCGACGACGACGACGACGACGACGACGACGACGATGGGCAGGAGTTGGAGGAGGAGAACAGAGAGGAGTCCGAGAATCAGTTCTCGCGAGTTCATAGGGTTGATCACGCCTACAGTGACCATTCTGGCCGTGAGAGGCAGCAAAGGGGCGAGGATGAAAGTGATTCAGGCGGGGGTAGAAGACGTAGCAGGTGGGAAAGGAGAAGAGGGGTTGTCATGAAGATGAGAAAGGCAATGATTTGGATTGTTGTGTTGCCGCTCCTGTTGGGTGCGTTGTGGGTTTGTATCAATCTGTTCAGAAAGGACGAGACTGTGTGAGGAACTTCGAAAAGACGAGTCGTCGTGGATCAGAGAGGGAGAAAATGCTATCAATGCGTAGGAGAGGGTGTTGGAGACCCGACTGGTTTGTCTTGAGAAGGGAAAAGAGTGTTTAGCGGGCGAGTTCGGAGGCAGCTAGTTGTTGCAGTGATGTCTTGATTTGTTAGGCCTGTCTGGCCAAAATATGTAGAATGGTTCGCTTTCCATTATCATTCAATTTTCATTGAATTTTTTTCTGAGGAGAAAAAAAAAAAAGAAAAGAAAAAGAGAGAAAAAAAAAACCTACAAGAAATCGTTGATATTCCTCTTTGAAGTGGTATACTAGTAGTAGTAGTAGTAGTAGTAGTAGTAGTAGTAGTAGTAGTAGTAGTAATGCTGTGTCACGAAGTTAAGAATGAATCAAGCTTTTTGGATACCAACGCATTTTTTGATTGTTTAGGTACTGTAGTCTCTTTATCTGCCTTGATTGTTTATCCACTGTTACTTCGTATGTATCTTTATCATGTTGTCAAAGTCTCGTGATCATTGTGAATAGGTAATGCCATCATTCCTTGCATCCAGACGTTTGTGCTATGCCTGTATTGGACAATGTTTCGACGATTGAGGATTACCCCATAAGAAGTTTACGAAGTCGTCAAGTTCCTGGTCATCCACATGTTTAGACATCGGAAGTTCAGAATAGGTTCTCAGACATTCGAAACTCCTACCAGCTGCCGTGGATGGTTGATGCAAGGCAACAAGATGCAAGAGTGTTTACAGTCCCCGTCGCTTAAGATCTCATCCAGAGTTCGTAGTCACAAATCTGTCATGAAAATTCGAGCTTCTTTCTCCCCCATGCTGCACAGCCCAGCCTACCGGAAAAGGTATTTTACTCGGGCTTCTCTACTTCCGGAAACATATCAGCTTCGAAATAACACCATTCATGTATCCACAAGGCTTTCTCATACAAGATATAAGGTTGAAGATATTTGACCGGTCTGTTGCGTTCCAACCTAGTCGAGCATGCCAGTCGCTGTCCACCGAACCTCATGTTGTTGAAAACTGTAACCTCCACTGGCAGGACTCAGTCTCAGGAAGCCTCGACTCTATCCCAACGTCTCCCGGAGGGATTAGCCTTCGGCAAGGAAACCGCTGGCTCAAAGATTCCCTTGCTGGGGCGACTGAGTGAGACTAAGGGCTACATGGCACATGCTACCCTCGCGGCAAGCCCATCCGTCAGCCATGAGAGGACCAATAAGGACAATAAGTCTTCAGCATTGGCCTCTTGTTCAGTGAAGCTGACTCGGGATGCCTTACTGGTTCTGACCGGTTACACTGCGCCCAACGAAAGCTCATTCTGGAACAGTACGAGTATGGAAAGGCCGGTATTGGCTCGCTGTACTGGGACACGACCGATGGCGTGACAACTTATATGAATAAGCCTCTCAGCTGAGGCGCCGTGATTATCAAGTCGACTAAGTCCCCCGAAGAATCCGCTGGATAATTATCGTGTCGTTACCGATCCAGGAGACATTGAGGTCTCAACTGCGAGGTTCCGTAAGAACAGAGAGCGATGGGTGCTCTAGATATGGTAGCACTAGAGGTTGCTGACACCCTTCGCCGAGCACATCAATGAGGATAGTGAGCTAGCCTCGACCTTGCGTGGGGCTATTGACCCTTTAAACGCCCATCCGTGCTGCACGGCGGCTATGATGTCCCGCGTACTTAGTGGTGTCGTCTCCAGCGAACAGACGGTGTATGGGGCGAACTGTTCGAGGGTGACCAATATCAGCCATTCGCTCTTTCATATTTCGGGTGCTCCGACCGCAACAACATATGCCTCTGGCGAAAGGGTGAGCTCTTCTATCTGTGTCTTACTCATCCTACAAGTCTGGATGCTAACCTGAATCGTGTAATCAAAAAGGAGTACGAGCTGGCAGAATACAAGCGGTAATCTGGAGATGGTTGACTTAAAAAGTTATGTTTTTAGATGTTGTACATAGATTGTATGATTATCTACCAGCAAATGTTCGCACCTGCAGGTGACCAGGACCTCGTTAGTCCGTTTAAGGACCAGCTTTTTTGAGGAAATAATTCGTGATAGTATTTTCCTTTCTCTTTTCCGGTGTCGCCAGGTCCTTTTTCTTCCTACTTCCCGCGCCAACCTCCATCAATGCCATTAGCTCCTCGAACTCCTTCGTGGGTACAATTCCCCCGCTAGCCTCCTTATGTCCTCTCGCAAAAGAATCTCCAAGTCTATGCCTCAGACTCGAATCCCCGGCCGTTTTTACGATGCCGTTTAACAGCTCAATGATGTTCACCTCCCCCCTTCCGCCACTCCTTTCCTTTGCACACTTGGCCACCCTGCACGAAAAGTTCACATTCCCTTCCAGATACCCCTCGTTAGCAGCCATCACCACCTCAAGCCTAGCACTCTTCAAGTGTCCCGCCCACCTCGTCGCAATGACCGGATGCACCTGTGCCTTGCTATTCATTCTCAAAACCGCCACGCGCCCATCGCTCGAAAATTTGGGCGGGACGTGTGTGCACCGTTCCACCTCGGCGTTGACCTCTACCCTTGCCGCCAAGAGCGCCTTGTTAGCGAGCAGATCGACCGGGCTGACGGCCTCCGTCAGTGCCTCCCATGCGGCATGGACGTTATATGTGGCTGTGCGGCGCGGTGCGTTGATAAGAGAGACTGCGTCGTTGATCCTTTTGCGCGTGTACTTCTTGAGCACGACACCCATATCGGGAAAGGGCGGTTGCCACTTGAAGTTTGTGCCCAAATCTCCATGCGTACCAAGAACGGCCAGCCACGCGCACTGCTGTTCAATGGCAGGGTGAAGAGGATGGCATATGAGGTAGGTTAGCAGGGCAGATGTAGATATAGGCGGGAAGTTGCAGGCAGTGACATGCTGAGAACCAGACGGAAACTCGTCTTCGGCAGCCTGGTGGTGGTCGATGATAAGGCTTCTGTGATTCGGGATATTGACAACAGGCAAGGAGCGCCGGGAGCCTTGGTCCAGGACGAAGACGTACGATGGAGACAGCTTTGTCATGGCCGTCCGCTCCGAAGGGTCGTGGATGTTATTCCCTCTTTGGACGAGGTGAGTGGTAATAAGACTTGAGGGCAGGCCAAGAAGGACGAGAGTCCGTTGAAGGATTGAGCCAGATGCGAGTCCATCCGCGTCCTTGTCAGGAACGATGAGCGTTCTGGATTTGGCGGTAGCACTACCAAGTATAAGCAGCCATGCAAACAAAGCGGAGTGCGGTTGGGATCAGACCATTCAAGAATAAGGCGTCTCGCCGCTTCAATCTCCTCCTTTTTGGCAGGCCAGTTGGCTCCTGGGGACTCGCCGCTACCATGGCTGGCTAGCGATCCTATCCGTGCCCGTTTCGAGCTTTGAGATTCCGTGAACGAAGATGCAAGCCGCTTCATAGTGCAAGCCGTGTGCTGGAGCATTCGAGCAGTTGATATGCGACTGGTGGTGGTCCAAAGTACACGAACGTGCTCGGATGTCAGGACATGCGCCCGTCTCAGGGGGAGAATAACAATACCTCTGACGTTATAGGCCGCTCCGTCATGCTTTGTGCAGGTAGGTTGGGCCGAAGAGGATATGTGCTGTTATATATGATGGTGAATGAGTTGAAACAAAGGCAAACCAGCAGAAATGACGTCAGCCACTTGGCTGCCCGCAAGGTTCATGTAGGATTCCGATCCAAGTGCGCTTTCGTTGCACTCCCAAAAGCAATGGAATTGTTTGACTCAAGAACCCGCTTTAATGCATGTTTACACAACCTTCAAGGGCTTCCCTGCGAACGCCTAGAACACCACCAATGACAATATTCATTTTCCACCCAACAGGCGCAGCACGCCCACGAAGCACACTGGTCTACCACAGTCCCAGCTAGCCTCGATGGGCAAGGCGCAACGTGTACAGAAGAAGGTAGAGAGGGAAGACGACTCGACGCCACGCTGTTTGCTCGGCCGGTCTCCAAGGCGAGAGCTGTTCATACTCCTTTCTCTCCGCTTATTCGGCCTTTTCGATCAGCAACTCGGAAGGCTTCACCCGTTGCGCCCACTCACTACACGGAGTTAGTCATGGATGCATGATTTTGATGGAGATCGAGGGTGTCATTCGAGAGCACTTACGTCCAGCTTCCATCATAAACCTTTCTCTTCTCAGGCGATCCAAACTGCGCCTCGTTGAGCGCTGTTTCAAGGACGCAGGCCGTGACGCCGGTTCCGCAGCTGGAGATGATGGGCTTTGATGGATCAACGCCCGCCCTGGCGAAGACCTCCTTCAACTTGTCGGTTGGCAAGAAGGCCTTGGTGCTGGGGTCCAAGACAGCACCGAAGGGAATGTTGATGGAGCCGGGCATGTGGCCCGAGGACAGACCCTCTCTCGGCTCCGGCTCCGTGCCACTCCAGCGACCGGGCGATCTCGCATCCAGGATCTGCACGCTCTTGGAGCCCTCTTTACTGGAGTCAATGGCAACTTGACGGACCTCCTCGAAGCTTGCGACCTTGTCCTCATTCATCTCGGGAATGGGATATGTACCGCACTCAATCGTCCAGACGTTTCCGGATTCGGTAGGGAGACCCTCCTCGATCCATAGCTTGAAGTTGTTGAGAATGTGAACCTTGGGGTGACCAAAGACCTTCATGGTCCAGCCAACACGGGGGGCGCTGAAGATGCCCAGCTCTTGGCTGTCGTAGATGACCACAGTGTCTTCGCGGCGGATGCCGAGCTCACTCATGGCAGCGGCAAAGTCTTTGGAGCTGGGTAGCATGTGAGGGTAAGGGCTGCGCTTATCGATGACCTTGTCAAGGTCGAAGAAGCGTGCCTTAGGGATTCTCTTTTCGATGAAAACGTCGAGGCCGGTGCGCTTTTGTGGGTCGTTTGGAAGGAACCAGGAGGCGCATAGAGGAATGACACGGGGTTCGGATGAGATGGGAGAAGGAGGGGCTTTCTTGAGGGCTTCGTGCAGCTCCTTGGGGGTAACTAGATAGCTTGAGAAGCAGCGGACAGCCCCCGTTTTGGCGGCAGTCGAGCGCATCGAGGCCCGAAGGGAGCTTATGACTCCCACGCGAGCCATTTTGAATATTCCACTTTGTGCTGTCTACCTGTCGGCGGTAGTGATAGGTTGTGTCGAGGATGCGCCGGGCTACCTTTATGGAGAAGCAAGGCGGCGATAAGGGGTTTTCGTAGTGCCGCAGTCGAAGTTGATGTTCGGCGGTGCTGTTGTTTGGAGCAAGTCGAGACAAGCGACAGACGGCCCGATGCAAGGTACCTAGACGTAGAAGCAGAGGTTGAGAGAGGGCAAGTAGATTTGGCGTTGCCTGGTTCCTGGTGTTCGGACTACGGCCCGGAAATTGAGTGCGCGGAAAACGAGCTTGGTCGTATCAGTCTCAGTCACTTGAGGTATCTAGCATGTCTACAAGCTGGCAAGCAAAGAAAAGACAAAGAAAAAAAAAAAAAAGAAAGGGGCCTTGAGGAGAGGAAAGGAAACAGAAAAAAAAAGTTAAAAAAAAAAAAAAAAAAAAAAAAAGGGACCCAGCAAGCCGAAATCTCGTCAGTAGCCCAAGGATGAGAACTGTGGATGCGGGGTTTAGACTGCCTTTGTCATAACTTTTAGCATGGGACCTTGGCTGTTCATGCCAGCGATGGAGGTAGGTGGACGCCCAGCAATCAATATGGTGCAATGTGCAGGGGCCCCTTGGTCTCGGCGCTGTATTACAGACTGGGCTACTAGGGGTATTGAGTATCCGGAAGATAAGACGAGACGTACCTCCCACCACCTGGTGGGCAAGCCGTCGCTCTTGGCGCCAAGTCATAAAGTCACTCCTGTTTTATTGCTTCCATTATAACTTTACAAAAAACTATTATAACGAAATATTGATTAAACTAGTAAATATAGCGCGCCAAGAAGCCGGCTTTTTGGAGTAAAAGGTTTTATATCGGGTTGTAGTGAGGTTAATACAGCGGTCGGAAGAAGAATTGCTAAGGTAGTTAGGACTTAGGTTTTTGCTTGGGTGTGTAGAGTTCCGTTAGTGGGCTTAAAAGGTACGTCTCATCTTGTCTTCCGGATACGCACTCCCCTACTAGGTACCTAGGTACCTAGCTTTTCATCCAAACTGTTTTAGAGATGCTTTCAGAGAGCTTGGGCCACACTGATCGATACTTTACCTACATAGTACACTTACATACGGTACTGCGTAGTAGAAGAAACAGCCAAGGTCCTGCTTCCTTATACTTAACAGTGCGCTGGCTGGCGCTAGCAGTACGTAAGTGCTAGCTTCAAGTACATATGGCAACCCTGGTATGCCATTTGCAACGGGTCAATAACCGCCGACCTCAGCAAGTGCATTTTCTGTTTCGTTGTTAATCGGCCGCTTGGTACGGGCATCTAACATTTCCCTACACACTTACGTCGAGACTTCCATTGACGTCGGATCGGATATCACCACGCACTGATAAGCAACTGCAACCCGGATCTCTCTGGTCTCACGCTCGCATCGAACGAAGAGATTCAAAAAGACAGTCGAAATGAAGGTCAAGATCAAAAAGTGGAACGCCGTCGCGACTTGGCGATGGGATCTCCCAGAAGACGATGTCTGCGGCATCTGCCAGGTCCACTTTGATGGCACATGCCCGACTTGCAAATACCCGGGCGACAAGTGCAGCCTGTGTAAGACGCCAGTGAAGTCCTTCAATGACACGATATCCAGCTGACCATCTGGCGCGTATGTTCCCAGTGTCTGGGAAATGCGGTCACAACTTTCACATGGTATGCTGTCTCTTTTCCATCTTTCCTCTTTCCTCGCTCTCTCGTTGACCAACACAACAGCATTGTATCCTTGAGTGGATAAAACAGGACTCTGCCAAAGGCCAATGCCCCATGTGCCGCCAAAGTGAGTCGTTGAATCCATTTTCCTCAGCGCTTAGATTCGGACGCGGCGCCTGACTATTTGGGTAGAATTCGAATGGAATGGTCGCCCCTATGCCACCGAAACGTCACTGGCCGACACGATCCAAGGCCAAACGCTCGCCGAAAATTAATTCCGCGGTACTTGCCAGGGAGCCATGGAGCTTTCTTGTAGCTTCCCTCCAGCCTGAGAGTTATAAACGGTTATAAATAAATAAGCTTATTCTATGAACAAACTACTTTCCTTTTCACATACTTATAATATCTATACTACTAAATTGAATGATTGGTAATTAATTTAGTAGGTTAAACTTGATATAAAACTTTTTATATAGTAAATTTAAGTACTTTATAAGGTATATATTCAAATGATCTTATTAGGAGGAGAAGAGTTTTACTATAAAAAAAATTAAAATAAGCTATACTTATATATAAGTAAGTATTTATTAAGATGAAAGGTTATAATAAGTAAGTATATTTAGAAGCTCTTTGAATTATAAGTTCTAAATATATTATTTAAATAGTATTTATTAGTTCTTCTTTATTAATTGTAAAGGTATAAGCTAAGAAGGTAAAGTGAAGGGTACTATAGTAGCAGTCGAAGTAAATAAAAAAAATATTATATAAATTTCCATTATTAAAAAAAGATAGTTGTATAATTGGCTTTTAAGGGTATAAGGGTTGTAAGTGTATAGAGAAGTTAAAGATAAGTAGAATAGTATATAATTTATATTATAACTCTTATATTAATATAAATATAATAGAATAGATAATAAGAAGAAAGAAATCTTCCCCTTAAAGGAAGAGAATGTCTTTTCGCACTGCTACAAATGTCTTTGTACACTGTAGCAAGAAATAAAATAAAGTATCACTTAGCCAAAGTTAGGGGTACAAGACGGGTAATGGTATTAGAATTTTTCTTATTTTTTACTCTATATTACTAGGGTCACGCCGCCTTCCTATCCCCACACACTAAGGATTGAAAATGAAGATATAATACTTGAAGTTAATAAAGTTTCATTTTTGTATCTTTTGAATTATAAAAGTTTGGGTAGAGTGTATAATTGTAATAAGGATACTATTGTATAGAGAAAAAAACGACGAGAATTCTAATTGCAAGGGCACAGAATGGGGAGATTAAAGGCAAGACTAAGATACCATCTATAATAGAAGATTTTAAGTAAGGAGAAGAAGAGGAAGAGAACTAGATATAAGCGTGCGAACCCAAATAAATACCCTAATTATATAAGCGATAGCGGAACCCATATACGGATCGCTATTAGTTAATTCCTTTATTCGTATCTCCCTTTACTTATATAATAAATAAGGGTAAATACCTTCAATAGGTTTAGAACTTATTTTAATCCGTTTTAGTACGGACCTTCTATATTATTCGTTCCTTTAACCTTCGTAGGCTTTTAATGGTATTAAATTTCCCCTATGGATCTAGCGGTTATAGCGGTATAGCTTAGCGGGCGCCGTTATATTACCCTCCCTTATATAGAAGATTTATCTACGAGTTTTGCTAATTGTCTATGTATGTAAGATCTTCTTCGAACATTTTAATTTTAGTAATTTTAGTAGGTTATTATTATTATACTCTTCCTAATCTTTATTTAATTAATTTATTAGACGTTTGAGGGGTCCTAGGGCATCCGGGTTAATTTTATGGAAATTTTAAAGAAGCTTCGGGGCGTACTTAAGGTTGGAAGTAGGTTAGTAATTAGAATTAAAATCCTAGCCTCTCTAATTCATATTATAGAAGAATTTACTATCAATTATTTTTAAGGTATTAATTTTCTCGACTTTCTATTTAAGGTTTTTATTCGTTTTTATATTTACTAAATTAGGGTATTCGGTTAATTAATTTAATGAAGGATTATTATTATACTTCTTTAAATAATTTATATAGAAGAGGTTAGAGCCTTTTTAACTATTAGAGAGTTCTAATTAATATAAGTAATTTACTTTCTTAGTAGTTTTATGATAATTATAAGTATTAGGGAAATTGAGTTTAATATTAGGGCGAATTGTTATTGATTAGAGGTACTTAATAATAATAATTTTATTGCCGATATTGAAGTTTAGGTCCCTCCGTTTTTTATTAGTTTATTAAACTTATTCTTCCTATACTTTTAGTGTCATTTCTTTAGTATAGTTTCTAGATCTTCAAATATATTAAGTATAATTTTAAATTTACTTTTTGAGTAATTATTTAGTATAGGACTTAATTTTAATTATACGGGTTATCTAGTTGAAGGGTATTTTTATTAGGTATTCGAATATAATTTCATAAACGGAGAGACCTATATTATCTTAGGGGAGGTCATTTTATATTGTATTTAGTACGGGGATTAATTTTAATTAATTATTTATTTTGTAGTAGTTAATATAGGAGTATAATTATTAGTTAAAGTAGGTATTTATAGTTTCGGCCTATCTAGTAGTTTAATTATAGCCTGCGGTAGTAAATTTCTATTTTGTACTAATTAGTTTAAATATTTTATTTATAAATACGGATATAAATTAGGGGCTATAGTCCGAAATTATTTCTTTGAATATATTATGATTTTAAAAGGCCCTTCGTAATATACTTGGGCAATATCCTAAGCGGTAGATTTTTTATATACAGTATAACTTATAATAATTTTATTAGGCAGTCTACTATAATTAGAATGTTATTAAAACCGTATTTATTCTTAAGTTTTTTTTTAAAATTAATTATAATTAAAGTTTATTTCTTATTAAGCGGTAGAATAGAATGTAATTTGCTAGGTGTTTCATCTCTAGGGACCTTACTTACCGTATAGATTATATTGTTTTTAATAAATTAGTTAATATTCCCTATTATATTAGGCTACTAATATTGAGGAAATAAGATTATTTGTATTTTATTACGGCCCGGGTGGGCTATAGCTAGCGTTGAATAGGTTTTATTAATAATACGGGTCCGTAGATTATTTTTATTAGATATAATTAAACGGTTATTATAGGTAAAGAAGTTATTAATTATTATTTTAAGTTAAAGGTCTAATTTATAGGTGTATATATAGTATACCTCTAATAATTCTTCTCTTTAGTTTACTTTTATAATTATATTGATTAGTTCGTATCCTTTTAGTTTGATGGAGTATAATTCCAATTTATTAATATCTAGTATAAGGATTAGTACCGGCTCTTTTAATATATTATTTAAGGTAGTAATAGAGGCTAGGGTAACGATTTTAATTCTATTAGCTTCCGTTAGGGGTTTGAATATTTGAAGGGTTCGATACACTTCCTTTTTATTTTTTTAAATTTTAAAGGCTTCGGACTTCCAGAATAGGATATTGGCGGTTATATTTTTAGTTCTAGGACGGTATATAATTTTAAAATTGTATTGAAATAGGAATTCCGTTTAGCCGGCCTATTAAGAATTAAATAGTTATTTTATACTGAAGTATTCGAACGTTTAATAGTTAATAATAATAATAAAGGGCTTCGATTACTTTAAACTAATAAATTTAGGGCATTAAATTTATAAAGGTCCAATAATAGTAAGTAATTCTTTATTGAAACGCTTATTTCTTCAATGTTTCAAAAATTCCCTAAGGAAGAAATAAGTGTTTCTGTCTATAGCGGTCCAAATACCATTAATTGCGGAGCCGCGGTGCCCCACTCTTTACCTAATTGGGAGATTTTGAGAGTTCAGCAAAACTCGGGGCCCGTGCATTCAACTACAAAATTATCTTCCGACATTGCAATTGAGATTGCTCTTCAACCAGTGCGTGTATTGAGATTCAACTAGTCACAAAAGTTTTGTTGTTTTTTTCTGATTATTTTGATATCTATTATAAGCTTTTCTGATATATAGTCATTGAGAAAATAAAAGAAAAGGATAATTATTCCTCTCTATATAATAGAAAAAAAAAGGAACCTAACTATCAATCGAGCTAGTAGCTCAATAGGTTTAATAACTACTCGCTCCCTTAGGTTATTGGTTCAACCCCACTTATATGTAAAAACTATATTTTAGAAAATAGATTTTATAATTTAAATTAGATTTAATAAAGTTATTATAACAATAATATAATTAAAAAACATATAAAATATAATAGTAAATAAGATGAGATTAACATTTGAAACAAAAAAAATCAAAAACCTGAAAAGAAAAAGAAGAAAAAAAAAGGAAAAAAACTCCTCCTAAAAAAACCAAAAAAAAAATGAAAGAAAATAGCTGGAAAAAAGAAAAGAAAAAGAAAAAAAAAGAAAAATAAGAAAAAAAGGAAAAAAAAGGAAAACAAAGGAAAAGAAATTGATGAAAAAATTGATAGAAAGAAGGATAAGGGAAAGTCAAAAGAAGATATCGAAGACGAAAAGGAAATAGGGGTATTAAGGAAAGAATTGAAAAATTTAGAATATAGAATAAATTTAATAATTATTTTCTTGGGAAAAAATTAAATTTTAATTTAAAAGCAAAAAGAAAATTATAAAAAGAAAGATAGAAAGAAAAACTATACTATAAGTAAAGGAAAACCTAAAAGAAAATAGATTAGAAAAGCTTTTAATAAAGAAAATTCATTTAAGAAAGGTTTTTTAAAATGAGAAACTTCTACTTTAATAATTATTATAATAATTGAAGGAAGTTAAATAGCTCTTTTTCTTTATACTTTATTAAAATACAGTAATTGGACTATATATTTAAATACTTGAAGGTTTACTTTAAAAGTTAAATTTAGAAGAAATTATATTAAGAAAGTATTTGGAAAAAGAAGTTCGTAAAATAAAGAAGTAATTTTAAGCGTTTCACTATCTTCGTTGGGTATATAAGGCTCTGCCCAAGGAAAGACTATATTTATAAATTAGATAATTATATTCCGCTTATTATATAGTCTCTAAAAAGTAGGTAACAGGATACTACTTCTTTGTATCCTTCTAGTATTAAAATAGGATTCCTATAAAGATTTTATTACTAGTATCTATTTCGACTTTAGTTTTAGTATTGTAGCGCAAATATTTTAATAATGGAATATTCATTAATAATTACTTTCATTTATCAAATATTATTTAATATTTTTCGATCTATATAAATATT